TACAGGGCTTAGAATATTTATCATTTAGCCCCTCATAGAAAACATTTGCTAACTCATACTATAGATTATTTGTCCCCTTTTTCCTGCTTCCTTGTATCTGTAGTAATTTCTGATTCACTATGGTACAGACATTTTGAATGACAGTATCTTTTTAATGATCTTTAAAAGATCATTAAGTTTTAATCTGGAAGACAATCACTTTGCCAGTGGGCCACCTTTATCATGCTGAGGTTTCGTTTTAGGCTCTATTAAGGAAGAAGCTTTTGCAGCTCTGAATTCCCATTTCTGCCTCTTCTACCCAGTGAGACTACAGTCTGTGGTTTGGAAAATGCTCTCAGGTGAAATCTGGGATGACTATGGCGATCATCTAATGTGTTCATTTCTCATGTGTTTCCTTCCCTTAAAGAATCATAGTCTCATACTGACTATTGTCTAACGTTTTATCCAGCTTTTAGAATTATTTATGTGGGAAAGTTAATTACGGTATCAGCCATTCATACATGCCCCCATTCATGATCAGGGGCAGACTATTTTTTAAAAATAATTTTTACATCAAATTCTCTCTCACTCTATATACACTATTTGAACATATGTATGTATACGGTATTATATATGTATATGTACATATATGTACACCTACATAATTTGTTAATCTTTATGTCCTGAAAGGGATATATTATTATTCTCGGTTTTATAGATTATAAAACATGCTTAGAAAGTTTAAGATAATTGCTAAAATTAACCTAGCTAATCAATAAAGCTAGAATTGGAATAGAGATTACTTTGGTTCCAGTTTCTATGATAACATGCTACATTTTCATCCCCTAATAAGTCAGTGAATAAAGTCTGTACAAGAGTCACCATAATTTTTCCCACAGTTTTCCATCAACATTTTTGTGGATCAAAATGTTTAGAGAGAGAGAACATTATTGGCTGAAATAATAACTGATGGTTATATGAGGATTTTCTCCCCTTTCACGGACAACTAATAACTAATTGTATTTAAAATATTGAGGGCTTCTGGGGTATCATCTACATACATATACGCATATTCTTGCTAATAACTTAGGGTATTAAAATAATCCTGACTCATTTAGAGGACACTGATACTGCTGAACCACTTCCTTCACTGAATATGAATTTTCCTGTTAACAGAGACCTTTTATGGCATCAAAGACATACCATACGGTACTTTTGATAATGGAACACTTTACAAATAATAACAAGAAATTTTAAATCTATCAAAAGATAGCCTGACTCTGCAAAATTGGCCCCTGTTCATGACTAACACATTAATCTCCTCTAATCTTCCATCTCTCTTAGCAGGAAAGATCAATTACAAATCTGCAAACAGTAATCTGAGTTTCTTCCAAAGGAATAAGTTTCTCGATGCAAAAAATATTATACAAATAAACAGAAACATGATGTAAAATGTGTGAACAGTCTTTGAAACCTGTAGTCTGTTGCCTATTTCTCAGCTGTGTATATAATTTTCATATTCACTAACACCACTTACAGGCTATCTGTCTTGATAATGAGAGCTCACTGAAGTCCTGTGCATTGACATACCAATTATTTTATCCATTTCTTGAATGTAAATTTAAAAACTGACCCAGTGACTTCTCTTCCTACCCACCCAAATTTCTCACAGTTTTGCTTAGCTTTCTCCTCTCCTATATGAGTTGAATTATGTGAATCAAACCTCTGAATCTCTGTTATTCTAGAAGCTATATACATTTAGTACTGTATGTTGAATAGATTGAACTTGACTTAGGAAAGATAGAAAACGATTAAGAGGATGACACAGGGAAAGCATATGGGCCATGGGGCATTTGTAGCAGCACAAGCAATTCCAGGCAACTTTCAGCAATTTGGGGAGGATCATCAGCCACCTCTGGAGGATGACTCTGAAGCTTTTCTCCAATACAACACCCAGGTGCAGAATGCGCTAAACAGTTTAGTCTAAATGCCTGGTGACTCTGAGGTCTGAAACGCAGGCCAAATTCTACTCTTTCCTACATGAGTGGAAATGTCTTTAAAGTGAGCAGCACTGAAGAAGATATAGCTTATAGCCAACTTCTGCTTCCCCAAGGAATTCAACAGAACTAGCATATGTCTTAAGAAAAATCTCAGGTGACGTAATGGATAGAGCGGCAGAATTTGGGTAATGGAAATTTTGTAATAGCATTGTGTCACTTCTAAGAGAGGGGGAAGCCGAGCAGTAAGTTTGTCCATGGAACCCACATGGCATTGCTATAAAATACATGAAGATTCTAACCCTATTGTCTTCATCCCTTTTCCTTTTGGCTGGAGCTCATGGAGGATGAATTTTGAGGCCAGGAAGATAGACAAGACTCTTGCAGCAGTCTTCCCTACATCTCTTCTGTTTAATTCCATGTCGGACACGTCATTATGACACTTGCACATTTGACACCTGTTTCCATATTTCCAAATGCTACTCAGTTACTTTTTTAAGTTTTTAGAGATAGGGTCTTGATATTTTGCCTTCTGTGGCCTCCAGTCCTGGGCTGGAGCAATCCTCTTGCCTCAGCCTCCTGGTATGACAGGAGCATACATGGGGCTTCAGACTGCTTGGAGGTCTTTTCATACCAGCAGGATTGATATTTCACATCTCTCATCCTGTTCTTCCCTCTTCTTGATTTTCTTCCTTCCTGACTCAGTGAAGGTTTAGATTGTTTAGATGCAATAGTCCCTCTAGAGAAATGACCAGATGCAAATGCAGACACTGAAGTGCAGACACAGCACTGTGTTGTGACGTGCCAAAAACATTCCAAGGGAAGCCAGCCAAATGTGAAGACAGAGGGCACCGAAGCAACCAGTCATTTAAGGCAGACACCTGAAATTGCCATAGATGTTGTTTTAATAGAGAGACTTCTACTGTGATTTGGGGCCAGGTCCAGCTGATGTGCATTTTATTCATGTCAGCTACATTTGGTGAGTCCCCTGAGGGAAAATTCATCATGGGCTATTGGAATTTTCATGCCCATGAGGTTACAGGCTTTGGTACTGTTTGTATTATAACAACTATTCAGAGCGTCCTGTGCAAATCTGAGGTGAAAAATCTGAGAAGGAAAGTGTGCTGAGAAAGAATGAGCTGTGTTAATTATAAAAAGGAAAATGCTCTAACTTGAGTTATTTTTGTAGGAAGATATCTCAGACATATTTCAGGTGGTGACCAGATTATTTTACATATAGATGGGGGAAGTATCGTAAATACCTGTTTCCTCAAAATTTTTGAAAGTTACAAAAAAAAAGACTCCTGGCTTTGCTAAAGTGATGAGAACTTGTCAACTGAACGATTAATCCCATCTTCTTTTTCTCTTTCCCTATCCCTCTTCTCTTCTGTTAGAAGACATGAAGACATAGTTCATTCCTTTTTTAAATGTTTCCACTCCAACTTCTTCCCACACCCTATGGCAAATCCTATCACCAGTATTTTTAATTTGCTGGTTTTCAGGGTAGTTGGATTGAGTGTTGGTATCAGTAAGTCTTTGTGTGAACAAATTTATGTATTAAACTGATTCAGGAAAGTTTACTCCTCATACTGCATTGAAGAGAAAATTTAAAAAATTGCATATCATTTTCCAATGCAAGATCCCTATCCAAGCAGTCCAGATAAAGGAAAATTTGCAAAACATATTTTTGGGGGGGTCAATTATTAATTGGGATCTGGATCAATAGGTATGAAAGATACTTGGGACAGAAAGCTAGTTTCTTGTCCAGGTCCAAGCTTTCTGTGGCAAATACACAGAGTTTTCCCTTTTGGAGATGGAGAATCCTTATAGAAGCTGTCAGGCTTCCCTGCTGGGTGGTTTACCTCATTCAAGTCTTACAACACCACTGGGAGAAAGGTAGGGTAGTCCCGTTGCACAAGGAGTATGCCTCAACATTTAAGGAAATTGCTTGGGGGTGGTCTCTTGACAAATAAGTTTCAGACGTGTCACTGGAACTCAAATCTGCCTTTGTTTATTTCACAGAGCTACCTTGCCCCAAACAGAGACATTTTGACTTGGTCTAATATGCTTTTCCCAGTTCCCAGAATGGATTCTTTGGGAGAAGGGTTTTCCCCTCCCATTCCCTTCAGGCCATTATCGTAAGTGTAGTTTACCATATACCCCCATAATAGATAACTGGATTTGGGTTTCTAATCCCAGACCAGCAGAGGTTGGGCGCCTGCCTGACGCTGTCCTAAGCAGGTGGTGCTGGATTCCGCGGTGCTTCCTCAAGAGCAAGAAACTCCCTCCAGAGAGAGAATCTATCCTCAGCCCTACCACACAAAAGCACAGAAATAAAAGCAAAAACCCAAACCCAATGGTCACCACGACCTAAGACTGTGGGCCTCTTCAGACTAGGGAGAAGGGGTCGGGGGCACCTCAGGAGCGCCCTCTGGCGAAAGCAGAGCGCGAGGGTCCCCTTCGCGCTCCCCCCTTCGCCGCCGCCGCCGCCGCGGCGCCCCCGCCCGGCTCTCGGTTCACTCTCGGTCTTTCACTCCGTGAGACACAGACGGCAGCTTTCCGAGAGAGCTGGGGACAGGCTGAGGCGGCCGGCACAAGTGTCGCCGCTCGCCCGACAAGACCTGGACTGGGAGAGAAGGCGAAGCCTGGAGCCCCATCCTCGCTCTCTGCAGGGTTCCCCCGAGCCGACCAGCAGCTCCGCGCCCCTGCACGACACCCTTCGCAGCCACTTCGCGGGGCGTGCCAGGACTTGGGGACGCGGCTCGGGAAGAGCCTGGGCAGGAGGCGGCGGCGGCACAGGAGCCGGGGTGCGCGCGCTGGGACTGGAGCGGAGTGAGTGGCCGGTTGGGCGGCGGCGGCGGGGCCGTAGTCGCGGGTGGCTCCCCGCCTGGCTGCTTCGTAGGCAGCACCGCCTCCCGGGCCGCGGCCGCCCGGCCGGGTCCCCTGCGCGTTCCCGGGCCCGGAGCCGGCGCACGATGCGCCTGGCTGCGTTTTGATCGCCGCCGCGCCTTCGACTCCGCCGCGATGATCCCCCCAGAGCCGCCGCAGCAGCAGCTGCAGCCGCCGCCGCCCCCAGCCCCGCCGAACCATGTGGTGACCACCATCGAGAACCTGCCGGCCGAGGGCAGCGGCGGCGGCGGGAGCCTGTCCGCCTCCTCCCGGGCCGGCGTGCGCCAGAGGATCCGCAAAGTGCTGAACAGGTGAGCGGCGGCTCCCGGCGAGGGCGGGAAGGCAGGGGTTGGGGACGCCGGCCCGGGGTCCCCTCCGTCCCTCGGGGGGCCCGGAGGTCCTTTGGGACTGGGTTGCCGCGGGGGGAGACCGGGGAGATGGGACGACGCCTTACTCCGGAGAGGCCGGCCGCGGCAGCTTTGTCCCGGCGCAGGGAGCCCCGGAGTGCCGGCGCTGCGGCGGGTCCGAGGAGGGAGTTCGGGGAGAGGCGGGGATTTCCATCCCTAGCTGCCCTGCGTGTGTCCGCGGTCACACCCTCGCACACGCGTGTCGCTTCACTTTCCCTTCCCGCTCCTACCCGGCTCTGCGCTCAGGGGGTCGGAGGGGACGCGGGGACACAGCGGGGGCGGCGGCGGGAGGCTGGGGGCTGCGGAGATGGCGTGGAAGTCTTCGGCCTCGCGCGGTCGCCTGCCCCGCCCCGCCAGGGAGACTGTGACCCTTCTCCGGGGCTGGGGTCCAGCGACAGCCCTGGCGGGAGGGAGGGGAGCCCACTTCTCCTGCCTGACGCTCCAGTCGCGGCGCGGACTCTTGGCGCCAGGGAGCAGGGGAGCGGAGGGGAGAGGCCTGGAACCGACCCACACAAAGTGAGAATGTTGCGGGCAGGGTGTGAGAAGGAGCCGCCACTCATTCCTGGCGAGCTGGAGCCGGAGGCGGCGACACCGATCGCCCGCGCTCCACCGCTGGAATCTGCGTAGTGGATCGATTAAGCACCCAGGTGGTTTAGGTCCAGGACCCGCGTTAAGGGGAAATGGGGGGCCCATCGGCCTCCCTGACTCAACTGTAATGTGAAAGGGACTTTTTCTGCTTCAGTAACTTGAAATGTTTGATGGGTTGACACATCAAGAAATCACGCGGGGAATGGGTTTTGTGTGGTTTTATTCGGGTGCGTGGGTGTTTTTCGACCCATCGGAAAGGGTAACTCTTCTGGTCGCTCTGTTGGTACAGGTTTCTGTGTGGCACGGTTTGGGGTAGCAGAGATTCCCCGAGGAATTCACATTGAGCTGTCTGGGGCTTTATGCCCTAGTGGGAGCACAAAATGTGTACAGAATAGAAGCTTGAAAAATACTCTGAATTTGGGGAGTACGGTTTAATTTAGTTATACCAAATCCCCAACCATTCAAGAATCCCTTGTGCTCATGCCTTGACGTGTATTTAACTTGTGAGTACTTACGTATGTTTCCATTTACTATCAAGCAAGGGGAAATTCCCTCTGAAGGGAGACGTGAGTTGGTAATGGAGAAAGTCAAATCTTTCTTTTGATTTGTAGCTTGAAATAAACACCTTCCAAAATATTGCACTTCAAAGGCAATGAGCAGAATAAATCAGGAAGATGCTGGCTGGGTACCTATTTTATGGCTTTCTTATTCTTCATGAATACCTGTGGGGTTTCTTTCTTCCTTTCTTTTTTTTTGAACTGCAGGTGCCTTGGCACTTTAAATTTTTAAGCAGAATATATTTTTAATTATTAATTTATTCTCCTCAAACCAGCAAAACCTGGTTCATTTGTCTTTGCTTAATTATAAGTTATTATTGATTCCATGCAGGATCTCTCTTGATATATGCATCTGACACTTAGGGACCAGAACAGCAAGACTGCTGAGGTCAGAGTGAGGGACTCTGGTTGTCTCATACCTCTCTGTCCATAGCTTGCACAGGGTTTGCAGCAGAACCCTTCATTTCTTCTTGTCTGAGTTCCTTTATTTATAAGAATAAGTACTTTTAAGAATAGTACTTTTTTTACTTCCCCTACCATGATTTTGAGAATTAGATAATATTGCAGAAAACAGTTGGAAAAGTATATAAATCTCTATGCTAATCCATTTATTCAACTCAGTTTTTGGTTGTCTAACGAGAGTCTGAGTCTGTGGCAGTAGCAGAGGCAAATACGGTGAAGTCATGGTACGTTATGCGTAGAACTTTGTATATGAATACGTCTTCTGTGATTTGTGATATGAGTTGTACTATTCCTAAGTTGGGTCAATGATGTTTCATCTCAGGTACATGCGGGAGTAGAACCTTAGGGTTGTGGCTTTAAGACTTAAACTAAAACATTTATTTGTCTTCCAGAGTTTTCCAGAATTTTCAATATCACAGTTTTGCATTGAGTAGCTGGCTTTCCCTTATCTTTAAAGGATAAGAAGACATTTCCTTTGAGAAAGTGCCTTTTTAGTAAGGAGATTGAAAAAAAATCTGAATAAATTTTAATACCTCCGTGGTGTGATTTCTTTAGCATGCTGATGGAGTTGGCTTTTGTGCCGTGATTATGTCAATAAAAAAGAGCATTAATAGTGACAGTGGAATGATTTAGCTCTAAGTAAAAGTAAGAATGGGATTTTAGAGATTCTGGGCAGTGCTGAGGTGTGGCTCCCCTCTGGTTTGGACTCACTGGGTGTTGGACTAGCTAGTAATGGGCAGGCCCATTGGCGTCTAATCATAAGCATCTTTGTTTATTTTTTAAAAACTCAGGATTGTTCATTTGTGCCTTCTCTTTCCTTTCTTTCTTTCTTTCTTTTTTTTTTTTTACCTTCTCTTTCCCCTCTTTCTTTTTCTCCCCCTCCTTCCTTAATACTTGCCTGGCTTTGCCCTACCCACTCATTCTCTTCAATAATTTCCTCTCCTCTGTCCCTATCCTGTAGCATCTTAGCGCTTTGCGGAAAGTAGTTCCCAATCTGGAAGCTAGGAGCTGGTATATAAAACACTCTTCCAACTTTTGGCATGCAAATACATTGCTAGCAGCATTCTATTGCTGTGAGCTTGCTGGGGATGGGGAGTTGCACCACTGTCAGCTGTCAGCATCCCATTGGGCCAGAGGGGCAGTGCTGAGAGACGGGTTGGTGCAATGGGATGAGGAGTGTGTGAGACTGTGAGCAAGGCAAGCCTGCTGAACTGCCAGCTATTGGTCACAGACTATAGCAACAGCTACCTGCCAACCCAGAGGAAAAAATGCAAATGCATATGCTATCTATATCCTGACTACCTAGGGAGAGTTAAAGAAAGAAGTACTGATTAATAATTAAAGGTGCCTCTTCTCAAGAAACTTACAATGAAATGTAGTGCTACCTTAATAAAAACCTGCCTTACATCATCCTGCATCATTTTATTTCCTTAGTATAGCTTCATTTCTTCTCCCTTCACTTTACAGGCTTGTAGAGTTGGATTGCCCCACTTTGTACGTGACAACAGGAGCATCTCACTGATTGACTACTTCTTTTCTCATTGAAGCAATTAGATGAGAATATAATTGTATCCAAGACTTTGGTGAAAGAGGAGGTAGAAGATAATTGTTTTTTAAAACCAATTAATGGGATATGTCTCATTCTTTCCTCTCCCCTACTTAAAATTGTTTTAGCAATGGAGTACAAGAAATACAAGATGATTTGGTTGCTGGAGTAATTACAACTTCTTTAACTTCTAAAGATGCAATATAACATATCAATATCATTGACCAATATAATGTATTGATTCAAACAAGGGAAAAAATATGGCAAACTCTCCTTTCCTTATGTTCTAGCCTGGAATAGTATTTTCTCCCTGCTATAAGCATGTAAGATGTGACAAAAATAGAATATTTCAAGGGTATCAGACATGTCCCTGTGATAGTAACTGCCAATCAGTTAGATTTTTAGGAACGTATAGGAGTAAACACTGATCTGCATCTCACGGCTCCTCGAGATTTCTTAATGAAATGTTTTTGAGAAACAAGTCATAGCTTGTTTTGGGTTTTGCATATGCATAGTTTGTCTTTGCCCCACTTGAATATTACTTTCAGTCCTTAACCAAAATAACCATGAATTTCTGGTTTTAATCTACTTTCTTCACAATAAGACTTAGAGTAGGCGGTCTGAAGTTGTAAAGACATCTCTGCCTTTTTGTTTTTTGTTGTGGGGATATTTAATCATTCGAATGGAACTACTAGTGACCCTGAGACATCCACTTATTTGATTTAGAACTGATTGCCAACTTATATTTCGATTTATTTTATGAATTTTCAAATTTCTGAAACTTTTTTGAGTTGTAAACCTAATAGCATTAAGGATGATACATAGAGGGGCTAGAAGGAAGGTTGCAGAAAATCAGTGTGTAACTGAGAAAGTTTCTGTGTAAAACTGGGCAATATGTATAAGACCCTTCCTGCATTGTTAAATAAGGTGGATAGAATATTGTGACTGGCTTTCAAGGAACAGGGCTGTGCTTGCTGTCTTAGATACGGTTGGTGAAAACCTGCATTATAACTTGGATGATTCTTCTTATCAAGTGCGAAGGTTCCATTAATAAATTGATGGTGAAGCGTTTCCTCAAGCTGCTCCTTCTAACAGATGTCAAAATGAAAAGAAGATCAGCTAGTAATGAGGGTAATTGATACAATATATTCTAAATGGAACTGGCTGGTGTTATTAAAAACAGACATTTCTAAGATCGGGAGCAAGTAAAGGAGATCTGAAGGATGCATGTATATTTAACTAAAAGGAGAAAATTATGCAAATAAAATAAAAGATCATCCAGTATATTGGCATTTATGCACAGTGCTTGGAGAAACTAATGTTCAGATTAAAAAATATTTGATTTATCTCTCATAAAGATGATACATTTTGAAATAATTAATGTGTGATAAAATAGACACTTTTAATGGAACTTTTTATTGATCTTTTACTTTCTCAAAATCCTTCAAGGCCTTAAAGCTGTCATAATAGATGTCTATTTTTACTATAAATATCTGTAGATGTCGATGGTATAGGAAATCGAGCTGTCTGCCCATATAGTTCTAAAGTTACTCAATGCAAAAGATGATTTATTATTTAGTTGCCATGACTCATAAAAGCTGAACACAGAATGTGAAAGCACCATCATCGGATTTTAGTTTAGCTTGTCCATTCGCCTGCATTCAGGCCAATGAGCATTCACCGTGCATTGTTCAAACACATTAATTCTTGATTATCCTTCTAAAGAGGTATGCCTAGGGAGTCAGACTCTA